TTCCTGCTGTGCGGGAGACAGTCTTGCATTTTTAAATAAAAAAAACCTTCTGAAAATACAGGGGTATACGTTTTATTATTTTTTTTTTTCTGAGTATTGTGTTTTCTTCTTCAGTACGACCTGTCAGCTTCCACGTTTTCTCCAGATGGCAGAGTATTTCAAGTCGAGTATGCTATGAAAGCTGTGGAGAATAGCAGGTAAGATACAGTTATCTGCATCTCTGTCTCTTTGCTGCCCTTTTTTAAAGCAGTGTGATTGGACTAGACAAGCGTGGCGGCACTGCAGATAAAATGGTGTTGTTAAAACTAGTTCTGAGCAACCTAGGTCCCTAGGTTCGTTTTCGGAGGGTTCAGATTGAAGTGTAAAAGTAGTATAATCACTTTTGCTTGCTGGAAATCACTTTTTCACACTTGCTAGAAACATGTATGTTGCAGAGAATGCGAAGGCAATCAGTAAACTTATTTATGTGTGTTAAGGGTGATAAAAATTTTATGCTTTGGGGCAAAAGCTGATCACAGGTCTCCTTAATATGTGTGAAGTGCTTTGCTGTTACGGTAGTAGAGCTGCCATAGCAGTATCTAAAAGCCCGTTTTATGGATGTGAATTGGGGCACTGAAAGACTGCTGTGCTCAGGGCCTCGTACACTTATAACTTCATATGCATTCCTCAGGAAGCTGAGGACATCCAAGTTCTGCTAAAGCTCCATCAGTTTCTCAGAGAGTGTCTCTCTCCCCTCGAGTACAGGCAAAAGAAAGCTGTAAAGCAAAAACCCCAGCTGTGCTCTAGCAGCAGTGCGATGATTGCTGAGCAAGGCACGGGCTGGGTCACCCAGGTGTTTGACTGTGGCCGCAGGCTGCCACACACACATCAGAGAAAGCATTTGGTGTGGCGGTTCATGCCACGGTTGGTAACTTATGCCTGGTGATGTGCTTTTTGACGGTTATAGAAGGAGCTGTTACATCGAGATCAACAGTGAAAAAGGGGAGGTTAAACAATCCATGGTTTTCATATTAGTGTTGCTCAGCTCGGGGACGAGGCAGTGGCTGTGCGGTTGCTCCAAACAGTGCTGCCATTGCATATAGTCTGTCCAGAACTGTTTGGGTGGGGACTTTTGGCAGCCCCCTCCTCCTTGATTTAAGAAAATGTTTGCAGGTTTAGTGAGCTTTGGCCTTTCCCCCCTAGCCTTGTCTTCAATGCTAAAGTGGAGTTGTAACAAATCTGCTTCTGGGGAAATTATGTTGTTGTTTCTTGTATTTTGTTAATTCTCTGTTACATATTTTATACTGCAGTTCTGTGTGAGAAACTTACATTTGTCTCGTCTTTCAGTACAGCAATTGGGATAAGATGCAAAGACGGTGTTGTCTTCGGAGTAGAAAAACTAGTTCTGTCTAAGCTTTATGAAGAGGGTTCCAATAAACGTCTCTTTAATGTCGATCGACATGTTGGAATGGTAAGGTGCTCTTTTAGTTCTTCGTAGTCTTTAGCCTGGAGAAGAGGAGGCTGAGGGGAGCCCTCATCGCCCTCTACAACTGCTTGACAGGAGGCTGTAGGGAGGTGGGGGTTGGCCTCTGCTCCCTGGTAACAGATGATAGGACAGGGGGGAAACGGCCTCAAGTTGCACCAGGGCAGGTTTGGGTTGGACATTAGGAAAAATTTCTTCCCTGAAAGGGCTGTCAAGCACTGGAAGGGGCTGCCCGGGGCAGGGGTCGAGTCCCCATCCCTGGAGGGATTTAAAAGCCGGGTAGACGAGGTGCTTAGGGACAGGGTTTAGTGGTGGGATGGCAGGGTTAGGGGAACGGTTGGACATGATGATCTTAAAGGTCTTTTCCAACCTAAATGATTCTATGATTATATGATAATTTGAAGAGGACTGCCCTCAAAAGCAGAAATCTATGTATCACAGAATCAATAATAAATAGAGTAAGAAAGTAATGTTAATGGTTTTGTGTACATAGTTGGAAATGCCAGTGGATTTTTTTTTTGCTATTTTCTGTAATTTATTGCACATGTGCATAGAAGGTAAGCCCAAATTTAAAATAGAAGACGTGTACGTATTTTGAGACTGTCTTAAATTTTTTAAAAATGTTTTTCAGCACTCCAGTTGTTCAAAAGTGAATGCAAATATAAGCATAAATGTTAAAGTTGTCCTTTTTTATGCAGCTAACGAACAGGTTGTGTTGAGGGGAAAACGTGCTGCATACAAGATCGTAGAATCATAGAATGTCTCAAGTTGGAAGGGACTGATAGGGATCATCGAGTCCAACTCCCAGAAGATTCTCTTCTCAACTGTGTGGGAGTCAGCTCAATTTTGTAAAGACTGGTGTATAGATTACTGACTAATCCGTAGTAGTGATGTCAGAATGATATCAAGTAATTGTTACTGTGTGACAGAAACGCCTGCAACGTATCTGCTGGTGATATCGCCAGTATCAGGCAGAGTTGGATTTGCTTCTAATCCAAGCAGTCACACAAACCAGGGGAAAAAAATAGTATATTGCTATGGTTGTCTTTTTTGAAGTATTAGATGAAGTACTCTAATAAACAATACTTCATATATATTTATAATATCTATTATAAATACATATAATATGAAATATTATTTGAGTTGGTGTAGTGGTGGCAAATCATAAGACTATTTAACATGAAGGTAATTTTGGTTATTGACTTTTCCTAGAGAAAAAAAATATATACTTATATTAATGTGTTATATTAATATATATTGACATGTTTTGAGCTTGCTAGCAGATGAATAGCTTGATTTAATTCACTTGTACATAGAATTCAGTAAAGATCATCGTTAAGTCATATAACTTGACTTTTGTACATGGATTTTATTAATAAGTTATTGTGAGGTATGTTTGGCCTATTGCTGATGGCAAGTCTCATTTCAGGCAGTAGCGGGACTTCTGGCAGATGCTCGTTCTTTGGCGGACATAGCTAGAGAAGAGGCTTCTAACTTTAGGTCTAACTACGGCTACGATATTCCACTGAAGGTAAGAAGTTGGTGTAGTTCACTCTGGTTTTCTGGCTTTCTTCGTTTTGACAGGACAGCCAGGCACTCAATCCCAGTCAGCATGGCTTTATGAAAGGCAGGTCCTGCTTGAGTGACCTGACCTCCTTCTGTGACAAGGTGACTTGCTTAGTGGATGAGGGAAAGGCTGTGGATTCAGTGTACCTGACTTCAGTAAAGCCTTTGACACAGTTTCCCACAGCATTCTCCTGGAGAAACTGTCTGCTCATGAGTGGAATGGGCATGTCCTTCACTAGGTAAAAAAAAATGGCTGGGTGGCCGGGCCCAGAGAGTTGAGGTGAATGGAGTTAAATCCAGTTGGCAGCGATGTTCCCCAGAGCTCGGTGTTGGGGCCAGTTCTGTTTAACATCTTTATCAATGATCTGATGATGGGATTGAGTGCAGCCTCAGTAAGTTTGCAGATGACACCAAGTCGGGTGGGAGTGTTGATCTGCTGGAGGGTAGGAAGGCTGTAGAGAGGGATGTGGACAGGCTGGATCCATAGGCTGAGGCTGACTGTGTGAGGGTTAACAAGGCCAAGTGGCAGGTCCTGCACTTGGGTCACAACAACCCCATGAAACGCTACAGGTGTGGGGAAGAGTGGCTGGAAAGCTGCCTGGTGGAAAAGGACCTGGGGGTGTTTGGTCAACAGCCATATGAGCCAGCAGGGTGCCCAGCTGGCCAAGAGGGCCAACGGCATCCTGGCTTGTATCTGGAGTG